GTAGTCTAGTCATGGTAACATTAAAAGGGCCAGCAAAATCAACCCCGGTGTGCAAGAAAGCTTTAGCTTGACTTAAGCGTGACAAGGGTAGATCACCCATAGGAGGTTGCAACGGTTGAGGTTTTTGCTTCCAACAAGTAAGACATTTACTTAAAATTTTGCGAATAACTCTCTTTGAAGACAAAATCCAGAACTGTTGTGAGAGCAAGAATTGAACAGTTTGAGCACCTGCATGAAAATATTTGAGGTGATAATATTCGACAATTAAATTAGTGAGATGGTCTTACTAGGCAAAATAATAGGAAACTTGCGGTCAAATGGAATTGGAGCATGGCGAATCCTGCCACCAACTCTGAGAACTCCCTTACTGTCAAGAAAGGGGGTGAGGTTTTTAAGATATTTTGGGCAAAGGTTTTCACCTTTGATTTGAGAAATCTCATCAGCAAAGACTGAAGACTGAACATGCTTAACTAAAACCAAGAGGGCCTCATGCTTTTCTAAACACGATAAGAAGGTAAGTTTCCTTTGGACGCGGTGTGCGCGAAGATTATGGATGAAACGTAATACATAAGTGCAAGAACGGTATAGACGGGAAAAAGAAGAGAAATTGGACAAAAGTTTATCCAATAGAGGAGGGGTTTTATCGTCTGACATGGTTGTCAGGACTACGACTCGCTCTTCTTTCAATGCATCGGCTGATAAGGGATTATCGGAAATTTGATTCCAGGGTTGGGATCGATCTTTCAAAAAGGAAGGACCCGCCCACCATAAGGAACTGGCTAACAATTCTGAAGGTAGTAGGCCTCTGGAACCAACGTCAGCTGGGTTGTCGGCAGATGAGACATGATGCCAACAAGAAGGCATCACTCTTTCGTGGATGAAGCTTACTCTGTTGCTGACAAAAGTCTTCCACCGGTGTGGGGAGGACTTGATCCACGAAAGTGTAATGGTGGAATCAGACCATGCAGAAATGAAAAATTCAAAAGGGAGTTTGTCCTTATAGACATTAGTGACAAATTTCACGAGACGTGAAAGCAGAACGGCTGCACAAAGCTCCAACCGTGGAATGGATTGAACTTGCAGTGGGGCAACTTTTGACTTTCCACAAACGAAATGAGTGGTTATGTCACCATTATTGTGAACAAAAACGAAATATACCACTGCGGCATAACCCTTTTCGGAACTGTCACAGAAGGCATGCATTTCACAAGAATCAATATCAGTCGGAATGAGCAAACGTGGAAGTTTACACAAAGACAAACAAGAAATTTCTGATGTGTATTTATTCCAGGCACGAATAATTTCATTTGGAGGTGTTTGATCCCAACCGAGTTTCAAGGACCAGAGTCTTTGAATGAGGCGCTTAATGAAAAAGGTGACTGGGGACAAAATACCAAGTGGGTCAAAAATTTGTGCCATATTAGACAGCAAATTGCGTTTTGTACATGAAGTATTGATGTGTTTTACAGAAAATGAAAAACAATCAGAAGCAGGTAAGCATTGTAAACCTAGGATCTTGAGGGGCGAATCTGAGACAGAATTGAATGAAATATTCTCATTGGAAAGATGAGAACTGGGCAAATCGGCCAATAAACTAGGCTCGTTGCTGCACCAATTACGTAACTCAAAACCTCCCTTTTGTAACATTGAAATTAGATCCTGTTGTAGCTTTTTTGCTTCGGAAATCGATGAAGCTCCGGACAAAATATCATCCACGTAAGAATTGTCGGAAACTACAGAAGCGGCATGAGGAAAATTTGACTTTTCAATCTCGGCCAATGTTAAAAGAGATTTTATTGCTAAATAAGGAGCACTGGTTAGACCGTATGTGACGGTTAAAAGTCTGTACGCAGAAATAGGTTCACTAGTTGAAAAACGCCACAAAATACGTTGATAGTCGGCGTGCGGTGGAAAAATTCTGATTTGACGAAACATTTGGCGAACGTCAGCAGTAAATACTACGCGGTGAAGTCGGAATAATAATAATAGTCCAAAAATGTCACTTTGAAGTTTGGGCCCAGGCAAAAGACACTCATTCAAGGAAGGTTGACCTGGCAACTTCGCAGATCCATTGAATACAACTCGTAATTTCGAGGTAGGATTGGATGATTTGAAAACACAATGATGCGGGATATAATAGGTTTTTTGCGGTGATGGAACATCAATCGGAACAAGTTCCATATGACTGCAGTCAAGATAATCTTGCATAAAGGCAGAATATTCCTTATATAGACAGGAATTTTTCAGAAGTCGACGCTCTTAAGATAAAAAGTTTCGCATAGCAAGACTTCTACTATTGGGAAAAATTGGTTCGACAGTGCGAAAGGGCAATGAAACGACAAATCGGCCAGTTTCATCCCTAGAGGTAGTTTTCAAGAATATGGATTCACAAAGCTCATCCTCTGGAGCCAAAGTTTTGACAGAAGGCACCTCTTCAACTTCCCAAAAGCGGTGTATCATCTTCTCAAGCGACGGTGAATCGGTGCATAGAAAAGTTTTGGAAGTAAAAGGTTGATTGGTTGAGCTGCAGGTTCTTCCCATGATCACAAACCCAAAAATGGTGTTTATGGCAACTGGGTCATTGAGGTCTCCCATCAAACGACCGTTCTGGAGAATATGAGAAAACAAGTCAGCCCCTAGCAAAAGATCGATTGGTCCTGGGTGATTAAAACCAGGATCAGCAAGGTTGCAGTTGGCAATATGTGACCAAGAAGAAGTAGGGATAGAAAAGGAAGGCAAATTTCCACATATTTTAGGAATAACGACTGCTTCAAAATCAAACACAGGAGAAATCTTGTTCCAAGGACGAAGTTGAGTACTGACGCCTGAAGAACTGTTGAGAGTTTCAATTTGTCCTAGACTTTGGACGGAGAAATTTAAATTATAGGATCGCAAGGCTAGACGTTTGACACAGGATTGAGAAATAAAATGAGATTGAGAGCCTGAATCTAGTAAAATTCTAATTTTTTGAAAATTTCCATGGCCATCCATGATCTCTGCGACCGCAGTGGAAAGCAATACGCTTGATTGCTGCGAATTAGTCTGGGACGAAAATGCATTGCTGACTTCAGCAGTACTATTGGGTGATTGTTGGTCAGTGTTACTTGCCTGCTTTTCAAAATGCAACAAAGTGTGATGTCTTTGTTTACATTTATGACAACAATATGTAGATTGACATTTTTTTGCGGTGTGAGTTCGACTTAGACAATTTATGCAGAGATTATTTGTTTTTATCAACTGATAACGCTCTGGAGGAGATTTGGACAAAAGGTCGGGGCATTTGTAAACGAGATGATTACTTTTGCATAAACAACATAAGTCTTGACTTGAATTGGTTGGCAAATTGCTACTATTTAAAAAAGCAGATGACTTGATCAAGTTAGGAGTTTTAAAAATTTTCTTTTCTTTTCTGGCTACTGACACATTTTCTAAGGCAGCGCAATGATTATTTAAGTAGCCCATTAACACAGAAAATGTTGGAAACTTTGTAGGGTCATGCTGCAACTCAAACTTGGTTGCTACTGAAACATCAATACGCTTGAGCAGCATTTGAACTAGGATAAAATCCCATTGGTCAGTCGGCAAACTGAAGTTCTTTAATGCAGCGATATTATCTGCAAAAACGTCAAGCAGACTACGCAAATCCTGCGGATTATCATTAAATAATTTAGGACTGTTTTCAATAGCAGCCCAGTGATTGGCAGGAATAACTCTAGGTTTAAGATATCTTTTTATGAGTATGCAATTAAATAGTTGTCAGCGGTTTGAGGTAGTTTCTGAACTAACGAGAGAGGTTGACCTGTTAGAGTACTAACCAAAAAATGAAACTTCTCTGCGTCAGTTAGGGTGACACTGTTATGAATTACGGAATCGAATATGTCCTTATAGGACTGAAATTTGGAAATATCTCCTGAAAAAGAAGGCAAGTTTATTTTGGGAACTATGGCGTTCACATGCGCCGATGCGCCAGGCGCTATGACACTAGGGGTCGTTGCAAACAAACTATAATAAATTGCTTTTGTTGGGAAAAATTGATTATCAAAACCAACTCTTACTTGGTCCTCAGTTTCAAAATCCTCATCAGGGACTAAAGTTATCACAACATTATGTTGTTTACTAAACTCAAGTTGTATCGTGTCAATTTGCTCATCTTGCATTTTAAACAGAATATGTTGAGATGAATCATTTTCAGCGCTTTTGGCTATATTAAAAAGTTCCGTCATGCGATTGACTTCGGTTTGACGCAATGATTTCGCCCTTCTCAGCTTATCAGTCATTTTTTATAAATAAAATTTAACTGAATAAATGCAGAGAAAAATCAAATAAATAAACTTAAAATGATAGAACAATTTCAATGTCCCTTGTATTCAAAAGGAACCAAGTAATAAATTGCGAAGTATAGGTATAAACTATAAACGATTTATAAACCATAAACCAGCTTGCTGAAGCTTGATAAAAAAAGTGGTTTGTTTATATTTCGCCCAACATGAATTACTAAATGTAGTTAAATTGCCAAGAATGTGTGATTTTATATTTGAAGGTCAAGAAAATGAATCGATATTTGAATTTAAATAAAATAAATATCTAAACTGAAGTTAAATAACTATTGTAAAAAAACTGTAAAACTGAATTTGAAGTTCATGCGGTTCGATTTAGGACCAAAAATGTCGTGTTTGAACCAGGTTTCGGAATGCGGAGTAAAATTTCAATATTTAAATAATAATTGACTTCCAAAATCTAGTCTATAGCTGAGCATCAGCTGTGAGAAAAGTGGACTGTATTTTGCGGTTTCAAAATTACGGGTACAATTGAGATCTTACCTAATCCAAATCCAGTTACAGCTGCGAGTTGCGGAGTTGCGGTTGAACTTGATCTATCACAGTTCGCGAATACCACGGCCGGCAGGTTATTTGCGGTATGGTTGAGTGCGAGTAAAATTGGTCGAGAACGGAGGGCTTCTAAGCGCGACCATTCCCAAAAATGCACTGGTTTTTAATTTCCGACGCGTCACGTCGAATTGTCGTATGATTCTTCCACGCATATATGAGGGCAATGCGTTAAGTAGGTAAAGACCTCAAATATACAAGAACGCGAAAATAATCTGAAGGGTGAATCGTGGATTAAAAGTTTACTCCAAATTTAAAGTATGTACTTCAATAAATAATTGGCAAAATAAACAAAACAAAAATAATTCAATGAAGGACAATCTTAACAATTTAATACAAATAACTTAAAACTATTGAGTGGACGAAACAATGTGAATTCATGAAAAAAATAGGCAACTTTCTATCTATTAGTTATTCTCATAACATCTGTATACTTATTTTTGAAAATAAAATTATTTTGAAATCGAATTTTTAAACTGCTGCGAAAACGCGGGATTGGACGCCACTTCCCCAAAAATGCGAGGATGCCGAATTTCTCATTTGTAAATCATTCCAGAACATGGCTGACATGAAACTAGTTATTTCACAACTCATTATACCTATGACCTATTTTCGTCCTTACTAACATGAAAAGAGGATATAGGTATAATGGGGTAGTATACAATTGATTTTTAACTACTACGCAATAATTTACTCGACGTATCGTACTATTTAGTGTAATCAGTTGCTTTGTAAAAGCCGCAGTAGCCTGGAATTTTTTTTTTTAAATTTCCTCTTAGCCCCGCCCCTACGTGAAAATAAAAGTTCGTGACGTAGTTAGTTTTTCCAATCTGGCAACACATCACGGTTTTGAGAACACACAATTTGCACTGACATTGACCGTCAAGAATGAAACATAAAATTTATTACATCAAACAACGTAAACAAGTCTGTGACAATGTCACATGTCACACGACACCACACGTCGTTGAACTGTTGAATTTAGCTGTCATTTTGAGTAGCGTTGCCAGATGGTCAGCGGCTTGAATACTATTAGTCGCCGCTGTGGCGCTAAATTCAAATTACAGTTTGTTTTTCTCTTACTAATTCTATAGACACTATGCTGGAAAATAATTTAGTATCCCACTATACCATCACCATTTAGCCTATAAAATAAGGTCGAGCAGAGTTTTTTACTGATTTTTATACATAGTATACTACCCCATTGGTGAACTCTTGCAATAACCTCTATGACTTTATGACCTATTACAATGATCCTGAAATATTTGGGGATTTCTCATGTGGAAACAAGCGCATGAATATTGGCTTTATCCAATGAGAGGCACGTGAAAGTGGCCCGTTGGGCTAAGCTGCGTGGCTTCAAATTTTTTTTTCACCTGCGCCGATTCTTTTTTTTGGTTAACATTTTTTGTTAACACAGCCCCCCCCCAAACCATAATCCTGGATACGCCAATGCGTAGTGGAGAGCTTTTACGCTATTTTCCGGACACCCTGTATAATTTTTCTCGTCTATTGTATTGCCTTTTTGGTAATGTTTTCAATTTTTCAACATTCTAAAATCAATAAATACAGAATTAAAACCTTCCACTTTCTACTGATCGTAAATAATCAAAATACTGAGCGACTGCTTTTTCTTGCGAATACGTTTCCACGGATCCTGGTCTCATGAATCGTATCTTGGTAATGGCTCTTTCTGGAGTGAGATCCAAAAAATGAACCAAATAACAGGCCGCCATTGTTCCCGTTCTACCTCTGCCAGCTCTACAATGTATTGCTAGAGCCTATAAATGTAAAAAAATAGTAGTATTTAAATATTTAAAAAACAGCTACAATTACTTCATTATTTTCTTTAGCTTCCAGACATATCTTGATAAATGTCTTCATATCCTCCAAGGAAGGAGCTTCGAATTCTTCTATTGGAATGTAACTCCATTGTATACCTGGGAAAGCCGTTTTTGCAGGTCTATATTCTGGGGAAAGTGTAATTAAACGACTTATTCCTAAAATATTATGTGTATAAAAAAATATTTTAGAGACATTTGCGAAAACTTACCTTCTTGTTTCAAAAAATTCAAATTTTCTATTGTGTTTGGGCAAGAAGTACCAACAAGATAACCTGGAATGATCCAAGAGTAATTCCAGGGTGCTTCAATATTTGAAGACATTAATTTTTTATCTAGAAAAAAAATATATTAAAGATGTAAATTATTGACAGCAGAAGATATTTTCGAAAATATGAAGCTGAAAGATTTTTAAGCTCCATAGTATCTATAATAATATTTCGGTTAGGAACCTCTAACTCAAAACAAATCACTATGCAATTAAATTTACGTAAATAAATACCTACCGATTATTGTTATTAATGTTTTCAAATTTACAAAGAAAGTTTTCAGCAACGCTGGCACACTATGAATTTATCGGAAACTTTGCCAGATACTGACTACTGATTGAATCATTCATAATTAATTTATAACCTTAACCTCATAGTCCTGATAAAATGCCAGGTTTTACAATTGGTGGGAAATCCTCAGTTAAAAATAAAAATTAATTATATAATGCAATAAATATGCACTGGTAGGCAATATGGAATTTTCAATTAGTAACTGTGGACTTTCATTACCTATTAGTTTATCGTTGCCGTTTTCGTTTATTTTAGAATAGGGTTCTGTCAAGAAAAAATAAACATTATTTCGAACAAACTTTACAATAAAACAAATTGTGTCGAAATACGTTTCTATTTTTTTTTTCCCGCTTTCTAGATTACCGAAATGCAAAAGTTACTTATTTTTAATGCCTTTTCCAACGAACTCAATACATACCATCACACTTGAAAAATTAAGTTAGAGGCGGTTTCTACCCCAAAAAGAAGGGTAAACATGAAGAGGCAGAAAAAGTGTGCCAAACTGAAAATAAGGAGACCAGTTGTTAATAAAAAGGCTTTCTAATGGGTACCTTTTTTCTTTTTTTCTCTCCGGTCAGTACGGTCTGCCTCTTCTTGTTTTTCTTTCTGTGTTCAAAGTTCCTCGTCTTGTCTTTCTTGCTGTCCTCTTCTCGTCTTCCAAATTTTTCATGAAAGTCCATCAACATTTGATTAACTTACTCCATTTCAGTTCGTTTGCTTGCCTAATTTCCAAATAGAACACGCTGAAATATTCTATAAAAATCATTCTGTGATCTTGTTTTTCATTGTTTATATATATTACAAGTCGATTTTTTCACCTTTTACCAAAATATTGCGGTTTGTAACTCAGACTTACCAATGAGACACGAAGTTTGGGCCACCTTGAGACGTGTCTCAAATGTTGAGAAAAAATATTTTGTTCAAAACATGTCACGGGGACGCAAAAGAAAATCTCAAAAAGGCCTGTTTAGTGCCGAATCAATAAAAAGGGCTGTATAAGATGTGATTAAACATAAATTGAGCTTCTAAGGAATGCAGCGGATAAAAACAATCTGTGAAACATCAAACATTTGCAAGGTATGTTGAAAAAACACAAAATAATGAAGAAAAGTTATATTACCGCCCTCGTTACCATGTATTATTTTTGAATAAACCTTATTTTCCTCCTTTTTTCTCGGTTTTTATGTATGTGTCAAAGTGGCTCACCAGATTTTTTTAGATTCCTCTATAAAATAAAATAAATAATATTGTGTTAATAATTTATTCAAAAAATGTGTGCAATAAGATGAAAGATTATAAGCCTCACGAAACTGTAGCGAAAAAATTAAAATTACCAATTTTATCCCCAAAAAAGTAAAAACTGTCTCAACGTGGCCCACCCTTCCCTACAGTGTTTTTGTCCGTTGAATTCTTTTCATTATATTGTGAAATAAATAGTGAAATATTTAAACTTTGATATAGTTGCACAACGGGCGTATTGTTGTCAGGCTCGCATTGTGAAGCAAATAAATAGGCTAGTCAAAATAGGTGGTTGGGGTAGAAAAAATTAGTAACAAAGTGATCTCTGCGGAAATGAGTAGTCAATAGGGTCCTTATTAATCCCTCAAAAATCGCAGTTTGTCGCATTGGTGGAACTTGGAAAAAAATGGCCGCCATCTTGATTTTTTTGGAATTTATTGAATATTTCGTAAAGTATGCATTATATCAAAAAAACTCAAGAGAACTTTTTTGTGGAGAATCAAAAGTTACCTATATCGAAAGAAATTTCAAGAGTATTAGCTGAAAAACGAGAAAGTTATTGACATTTATTTCATTTGGCAACATGGAATTTTGCAAAACATTTAAGAAAAACTCAGATAAGTATGTTTTTTTTTTTTGTGCAGAATGAAAAACTACATTTAATGGAAGAAAAATTCAATAAATTTAAAAATCTAAATATTTTTGTTGAGAGGGAGCAAAAACACGTATGACAAGAGAAACATTCGGGCAGGAAACTACCCAGACTCAGACAGCACACAAAGTCTTTTTTCGGTCTGCCTTCTCCATTACATCTGAACGTCTGAAGACCAAAAAAAAAAAAGTCTAAAAACTCCCATAATAAGATGTCCTAAATTCACATTTTGAGGACAACTGAGCCACACTATTTCGTACAACCAGGCCTAAAAGTGAATAATGGTTCATATATTCAAAAGAGATTCAAAGACTTCCTTTAGAAATCTCGTTGAAGACGTCTTTAGAATGCGTTAGTTGTAAAGGCAGACGTCTGAAAGGCGTTGGGTTCTGTAACATACGTCTTCAAGATGTCTTTAAGACGCCCTAAAGATGTATGCAAGACATCTTGAATGTCGTTTGCTGGATATCGTAAGAACGTATTTAAGATGTCTACGAAAATTTCCACAGAATTCGTTTTTCGTCCAATTTTAGAAGTTACTTGAAACCATTAAGAATTCTTTGAACACTTTAGAATTTTAATAATAAACCTTTTCGAAAGTTCAAAATACTTAAAATTCAATATATAATTTCCAAAAGCATTCTGTAGCGCTTCAAAACATTTTGAGATCTTCAGAAGCATTATTAGAATGGAGCATTTTGGAACAATTTAGAAACTTCAGAGATATTTTAGAACAATTACGATTCAATTTAGAACTGGAAACCTTTTAAAATGCTTTTAAACCAATTCAACTTCACTTTAGAACTTCAATATGGCTCTAAAATACTTAAAAATCTGTAAGAACATATTGAAATTTAACATGGATCCTTCAAAGGAGCGGACTTCCCAATTTTGAAATTACTGAAAAACTTTTAGAATTCTCCAGAACTCTTCAAGCCAAGTTAGAAAACTTTAGACAAACCTCAGAATTATTTCAGAGAGCCTAATGCCTGGAATAGACGAAAATTGAAAGTTATAAAATAAGTCATAAATAATAGGAAAATATTAACAAGAAAATGTTCCTCTTTCAATTCAAATTCTTGAATTCTTATAACTTATAACTTATTCCAAGCTTTTGATTTTTCCTTACTTCTTTATTCCTAATTCTTAATTTTCTTTTGGCTGTTGAATTTTTTTTCCAAGTTCTTGAATTATCATTATTCTTGTATTTTAGAATTTCAGGCTCTTGATTTGTTTTTTAATTTTCAGTCCTGTCTCTTCAAATGGTTTCCTTCCAAAATGAATTTTTCGTATGTTTTCGTTTAAAGAAATCAAGAATTTGAGACCCTAGTGTTTGGAATAGACAGAACTGAAAGTTATAAGATAAGTGATAATAATAAAATATTAGTCCTGCTGAAAACGTGTTTAGGCAGAAGTCTGAATGACGTTGAGTTTTGTATCATACGCCGCCCTATTTCAGATGTCTTTAAGAAGCCTTGAAGACGTAAGCAGACGTCTTGAATGTCGTTTGTGGACATCTTAGGGACGTCTTTAAGATGTCTGTGTACTGTCGAGCACCAAGTAATTCAAATAAATTCAATTCTATATTTTAAAGTTTATAAAACAATCACTAAACCTTCCCAGTAGGGGAAGAGGAAAATTGGAAACTGGAGACCATGCTTTAAACCTTGGACACCAAACTTTTCAATAATTACTGATGTTTTTTTTTTTATTTCAATATAGGTATCTTTAAACCTCTACTAAAAGGCATTCTTGAATTTTATTAGAAAAATGCATACATTTCGCGATTTTACCTAAAGTTCAAAAATTTCTAGATTTTTAAATAAATTAAATTCCAATAACTTTTCTGTTTTCAAGCTAAAAGCAATGAAATTTCCTTTAATATAAGTAATTTTTCATTCTCTACAAAAAAGATATCTTGAGTTTTTTTGATATAATGTACCTATACTTTCCGAAATATTCAATAAATTCGAAAAAAATCAAGATGGCGGCCATTTTTTTCCAAGTTCTACCAATGCGACAAACTGCGATTTTTGAGGGATTAATTAGGACCCTATTGACTACTCATTTACGATCACTTTGTTACTAATTTTTTCTACCTCACCTGCATAAACCTGCCTAGATTGACTGCACTAAAATTAAAATTACTGGAATTTACCAGCATTATACAAAAATCGTGGATTGCAATTTTAGCGTGGCTAAGTGAGCGACGTTGCCAAAATGTCTGACATGGAAACATGCGAAATTTGTATGAAACATGTCAAAGAAATGAAGACGGGCTGCTTTGTGACAAATGTCAAACATGGAAACATCGAGAGTGCCTAATAGTCCAAGAGCCCAGAGCCGCCAGGCACAACTTATTTTCTAAAGGACAGAATATGTGGGATTGCGTAGCACTTATATGTACCATGAACGTATGCATACCCACTAGTTGGGTAGACGGCCAATTTACCGACAGCAGGTGCAAAAACTGAGAAAAACTTTTTTTCTAATGCTTGATTTTTATATAATATGTTATTAGGGAGACTATTTCATAACTACGTGTGCTCAGACGCAATAATAATTTTTCCGGGAGTGTAAGCACGAGGGTACTATGCATGCGTTGGAGAGTGAGCGAGATATCTATGTCAACTGATTTTCCCTTCTTAAACTTACAGTCTACTCCAGGCTAGACTAGAAATGGGAAAAACCGTTATTTACAAATAAAAGTTTTCAGCTGTTACTATTATTTTCAATTGGCCGTCTATCCAACTTAGCGGGTATACATACGTCCATGGTACCTATAAGTGCGACTCAATCCCACATATTCTGTCCTTTAGAAAATAAGTTGTGTCTGGCGGCTCTGGGCTTTTGGACTTTAAGGCATGATGACGATAAAAATTTATCAAAAGGTGGCTAGAAGTAAGGAAGTATAGTACTGCAATGATTGTGAAATCATGATACTAATAGGCGAACAAGAACAGATTCTTCCCAAAAAACTAAAGAGTAGGTACCTACACTCTACATCCTTGCAGATGTGATGGAAAAACTGCATGAGATGGATAAAAAGTAAAATGGAGCAAAAGGGCCTGAATAATGATAATCATACATGGTGTTCCCTATCAGGCTGGTGAAAAAACTGAAGAAATTGTAAGGAAAA